ATCATGAAATTATTCCGGACCATAGCCAGCCAACCTACACCAGAGAAAATATCCACAACGCGGATGACGCGGATGACGCCTTCAAATGTCTCCTGTCATATATTTTATATATTTTATCGCGAAAGCTTCCGCTGTGGACCTTTTAAGGCTGAGCACCCTAAGAGGCACCAAAACCGCGCTTTTAACCACTAAAGTACGATGAGCCGACCCGTCCTCAGTTTTTATATGAGAGTCTCCTCCCGGGTATAAAGAACACTGCTGTAACAAAAATAAGACATGGACTGCGCATGGCTTGAAGAACGTTTGAATTTAACTTGACGTTTTGGTATGCCACAACATGGGTCAGTATTTTTTATATTCCTTAAATTGAAATGGCCAAAGAACAAGAATGTTTAAAGTGAGTCAAACTCCATCAAACTTGAACAATATTAAGATCCCTTTATGTGCAGAATTGTGTGGGGACATTATAAATTCCTTGTAATGTTAGTGGTGTCTTTAATTTTTAGACTGTTTTGTAAGAAATAGAAAACGTGTACCGTGTTTCTATCGAGTTTTAGTACAAATTTTTTAGCGTTCTATCACGAATGCCGTTCGCTGATTGGCTACGCTACTCACTATCTATTCTGTAATAGATAGTGAGTAGCGTAGCAGTGTGCCCTTGTTAACAAGATGGCAGCCGCTTCGTTGCTTTTTCGACGTGTCTGTGAAGAACATTTAGATAAAGTTTTGAAAGACTAGAAGGTTTATACGAAAACAATTAGACTATTCGCTCTCGATTTCTATGATTGATTGATTGATTTTGCTTGAAAATGCTCGAAAGTGTCTTTGCTTTTTATGTGGCCATGATTTAACCTGTATAACGCGGCGACTCTGTCAATTTGAAGTTTAGTGCTCATAACTAACGAATAGAAACACAATTACCTAAAACACCGTGAGCTAGCCCCTTTAACATGCACAAAAAGAAACTTTCAAAATGGGGAAAACTCTCTAAATGCTAGATGTCCGCGGTAAAATAAAATTCTTACATCAAAGAAGTAATAATACATTCTATTATTTATAAGAATATTGTTTTTTCCGGTCCAGGTTGAATATTATATTTCTGCCGATTTAAGGCTAACGTAAATATATTCTTGTGAATATCCTTCGATTATAACGTACACTTGTTAAGCCTGATATGACGCACATAAATTCTTATCGAAATGTTGTTAGCATCGAATATACGGCTAGTGATGGTTTTGTTTTGTTTTTTGGCTAGTTTTACCGTTTAGAGAAAGGAAGAATTTTATAAGGTTTGGTTTAACATGGGGCCGCTTAATAGAGGTTCAACTGCAGTTGGATTCTCATCTGCGATCTGTTCGGGGAAAATAATGAGGTGTCCAAAAGCTAGAACTGACAAAAACTTAACAACAGCCAGTGGACTATTTCATCACAATAACTTCTTTTTTGACCGACAAGACGGCTTTATATTCTTATAAATTTCTTTAGTTTTTGTTTATCTAAGCAAGTTAGATTATTCAATGCCTTCATTTTGGCGTTGTAAAAATACGGACAAGGGTGAAGAGGAGATTACATTTAGTGAACAACTTTTAACTGCGATGCAATCTAGTCAATATAATTGATTAGTGGCGAATCCAGACCGTGTGCTAAAGNGGCTTTTCTTCTTTCTGCGATATTTTTTCACTCAAATAAGGGGGACGGCCCCCCAGGCCCCTCCCCTAAATCCACCACTGTTGATCGACTTTGTAGTTATCCTTCTGACGAACAAATGATCGAACAACAGTTTCGATGTTTTCTAAAAGATTAAATTAATGCGTAATTTCAATTTTATGACTGGTTAATGTAGAAACGAAGAATCATCTAGATTCGGTTCAGTTTTCAAGAGGCTTTACCTAAAATGGCACGCTTGCCGGACCCAAATGAATAATTGCTAGCGAATCGGAAACTGTTTATTTTATTACGTAGTGAATAACTGGAATAATACGCTCCAAGATGTCGGAACACTGCCGCAGCAGCAGCCGAATGATCTGAGGAGGTTGCCACTCACATCATGGGCATGGCTTCTTCTGCAACTGGGTTCCTGTGCCTCATGGATTCGCCGTTCCCAATACCTTCGGTCATTTCCGCGTAGCTGGTGAAAGACGCCAACACAGCATAGTGTTAAAAATTCTACCAAGTCACGACGGTTTTATTGAGTATTTTATTTCTTTCCAAGGTTTTTTGAGGTTAGGGGTGGCGAGGAAAAGCTTATTTTATATTAAATATAAGTCAGCTATGGAACTTATATAAAAGAAGTACTGTAGAGAGGAATAATTAACTGACGTGGTATTGTTCAGTATCATATGGTTGGCGTTCATAGCCGGTAGACCGGTTGTGGAAAGTAATCAGGCAATTACTTTGGTTTTGGTTTTACTATAGTTTGAAATTGGTTGAGTAGTCTAATGGTAACTAATTTGTTTGGTCTTATAGTTAATGCTTTATTTATGTAGAGAGAGATAATTCGAAACCACTGCGTTTTCTTATCAGAACTGTAACAGTAAGCAGGCCGGAGGACCGCAAAATTCCAAACTTTTCAATAACGAATCCAGTTCAAAGTTCGTTATCACATTGCAGGGTTTTTTTTGTCGAAAAAGAAAAACTTACACCT